CAAAAACGGAAAGAAAATAACATCTTTGGTTTCTTTCAAATGGTTGAGCTTAACGAAATTGCCAAAAAGCGTAAGCTGCTGTAATTATTCCTCTGTAAGGAATAGTATGACCCTTGTGGTTTAAATTGCATTATGTATCTACCCATCATGACGGGTTGTTTTTGCTGTCCCCGTGGACTTTTAATGATCATGCGAAGTCTGCGTATCGCAATTTAAACAGAACCTCAATAAGTTTGCATAGTGCAGAAAAGGACCGCTGATAAAGAGGTGCGGCGCACACCTTGCTGATGCAACTTCGGAACAGATCAAGCTCTGCAGAGTCATCGCCTGGAATCCAATTGGTCCGGAGAAAATCGGCAAACGACGTCTTATTCAAGACGCCTGAAAATGAAGAACAGTAGCGAGAACTTCCTACAAGGATCACATGATGAAATCAGACTAAGGTTGTAGTTGGTAAAGTCAAATTGAGCTGATCATACGGAATCATAGAATCAGACCGTTTGCAGTGAGAAATTTTACACTGTTAAATACGCAATTCCGAAGCCATATTCAGAAAATCCATCTATATGAGGTTCTTCTGCTGACGTGGCATCTTTGACTGCAAAATTTACATCTCAGATGAATGACCAGATGTTACAGGTGGGTCATGTAATTCTAAAATGATCAACTGACAGAAGTACTCTGTTGAGCTATACGACTGGACGGACTGCATAAGATATGAGCCAGCTTGTAAGCCGTGGACTATGATGATAATGTTTTGTGTGATGCTGGTAAATCATTTACTGTCAAATATTGTATAGCTATATATGCTTTATGAAGCAGCTCCTTGACGTCGCCACAGACAGTGAAAAGCCGTGATCCCTCTAGCTAGAATTTCAGTGCCTGCCCCATGCATTAACGAGCTAGAATATTTGCAATGTCTCACGTAAGAGGTATATACGCATTAAACGCGACTGCTCCTCATTAGGCAGAATATTTTTTAATACACCGTTGGAAATAATCAACGAACGAAATCGAACATTGGTACAAGACCAGACATAATGTACACAGAAGTGGTTTGTGCAACTTCTACACTTTTCATGCTCATCGTGTGCTTGCATGACTTCGCATATATTGGATTCTAAATCGAAGGGCTTATAAATAAGTGAGACTCAATAAGTCCTGGAGTGAAATGCCTAAATACCGAGGCATAATACAAAAGGTGAACATTGTATACTTTTGGAACAGACACGAAAAATGCCTTGCAAAGATTCTCCTTGTCAAACTAGACAAATTTGTCTTAATAAGAAAAACGAACTTTTAGGCATAACTGGTTGCTAACTCATGTCTCAAAATTAATGAGACCCTTCCGGCTACCGCGTCAGGCATGGGAGTTCGTTCAGCTGTGCGCATAGTACTGAAAACATGGAAACACGTCGTTGAGGTAGACATGCTGTCGACAAGAAATATAGTCGTGCCGCAGCAATGAAGGTCGTCTACTATCAATCTGAGATACCCTTTCTACAGGTCAGATATCATAAATCTGAGGTTACATTGCTGTTTGAGATCTGCTGACTTTTTAAGACGATGACAAAACAGCAGCATCAGCGTGGCACAGGCATGTGAGACAACTTTCTTGTCCTTTATTGCCCTTCACGATGGCAAAATGGGCTTGGAATTATTAGAGTCATGAGCAAGGCATATAGGCGTGATGGTATCCAAATGCTAATATCTCCAACAAGGATATCTCGCCTCCAAACTAACCACCTCCTGTGGGCAATTTTTACAGAAACCGAAAACTGTCCCCTTCTTTATGTTGAAAAAGGCCCGCATGATATGGTTCAAAGCGGTGATACCGGCTTATCACATGACTGACCAACTGTTTGCATTGAGCTGCAACAAAACATCGGTTTTCTGCTTTTGGGAAAGTCTCCAACTAGTGTTGTATTATGGCTCAACACCGTGGCAACAGTTGTTTGTAAATATCTGTTTACTTCTTCTTGAAGATGATCAAAGTGGCAATAAACCGTTCTTCCTCATCTCTGAAGTTATCATGACGTAAGCGAATATACAGAATTAAAGTTTTGAAGCAGAGAAATCATGGGAGTTCATGCATTTGGTTACCATATGCCATGTTGATCTGGAGAAAGCACGTGACCGAATCCTGCGCAATAAGCTGTTTACATGCCCGCAAACCTATGCAATTAACGATCAGGTCTACGAACCATCCAGTCACTGTATGTTGATAACAAGTGATGCGTCAGAATAAGTCAAGACCTTTCAGAATTTGCAAGGATCGCCGCCAAGGTTGTTGTTTTTCCCTTCTCCTACATGTGTAGTTTATGGATAGCATAGTAAGGTTCAGTTAAGGAAACGAGTCTGACAGCATAAAACATGTGGAGATTGGAAGGTTCCTGTTTTGTAGGCATCTTCTGAAACTGATCTATAGCGCTCTCTGGAAAGGTTCACAGCCGAGTGCGAAGTAGCCAGCAATCGTGTGAACTCATCCGAACGAAAAGCTTACTGGTTTTTAGTTGTCCTGCTCGTAACGCTCTACAGATGAAAGGAGAAGCGGTGACCCAAGCGGATGAGTTCACGTACCTCAAGGTAGTGCTTATGGATTATGGAAAATGGAGGAAAAGACCCACTGACGAATTGGAATGGCCAAAGGCTTTTTATGAGAGCTGACCTGAGCCAATGAGACTAAAGCAGAGTTGATTCTGAAGATTAAGCTCTCTGTGCTCAAGTAGATCTTCATTCCGATGCTTACCGTCATGGGTCGTGAGTCATGGGCCATGACTGAAAGTTTAGGTCCCGGAGGCTCCCGAGTCTCTAAATAATCTGGAGTAGAGATATCTGAAGGAATGTTGGTGTGTAGCCGCTATTTCCCTATATTGAGCAGCCA